AGAAATTTTTTTTGTTTGCTCCTGATGTTAGATTAAGTTTCCTTTTTGTTTCCATTTTCAAAAAAACCTCGTCGTTGCTCACATGTTCGGATTTTTTCTTTTTATTTGCTCACATGTTCCTTCTGTAGAAATTTCAACTGTCTCTTCCTGATGTTAAGTATAAGTTTTTTTTTTGTTTCCATTTTCTCTAAAACCTTTCTTTGCTCACATGTTCGGTCCATGGTATTTTTGTTGCATCCTTCTTCAGAAATTTCAACTGTCTCTTCCTGATGTTCAGCCTATAGTTTTTTTTTTTTGTTTCCATTTTTCTCTAAAACCAGTTTTCGTTGCTCACATGTTCGGTCCATGGTATCCTCAAAGCATCCTTCTGTAGAAATTTCAACTGTCTCTTCTGATGTTCAAGTATAAGTTTTCTTTTTTGTTTCCATTTTTCTAAAACCTATTTTGTTTGCTCACATGTTCAGTCCATGGTATCCTCAGCATCCTTGTTCTGTAGAAATTTCAACTTTTTTTCCTGATGTAAAGTATAAGTTTTTTTTTTTTTTACATTTCAGAAAAAAAGTTCGTCGTTGCTCACATGTTCGGTCCATGGTATCCTCAGCATCCTTCTGTTCAGAAATTTCAACTTGTCTCTTCCTGATGTTAATTATAAGTATTTCTTTTTTTTGTTGCTCATTTCAAAAAACCTCGTCGTTGCTCACATGTTCGCTTCCATATTTATCCTCAGCATCCTTTTAGAATTTTCAACTGAAATCTTCCTGATGTTTTTCTAAAATTTCTCCTTTCAGATACAGTTTTCTCTTGTTCTCATGTTTGCTCAATGTTCTTCCATGGTATCCTCAGCATCCTTCTGTAGAAATTTCAAATGTTTTTTTCCTGATGTTAATTATAAGAAAAATTTTTTGTTTCCATTTTAAAAACCTAAGTTTTCACATTTATTGTCCACATGTTCTCAGCATCCTTATGTAGAATTTTTTTTGTTGCTTCACATTGTTTCATTAGAATTTTTTCTTTTGTTTGCATTTTTCTCTAAAACCTCAGACAATTGCTCACATGTTGGTCCATGGTATTTTCAGCATCCTATAAGTAGAAATTTCAATTGTTCTTCCTGATGTTCAATAAAATTTTTTTTTTTTTTTTCATTTAAAGAGAAAAACCAATTTTTTTGTTGCTCACATATTTCGGTCCATGGTTTTCAAGGTTGCATCCTTCAAGTAGAAAGTTTTCTTTGTTTGCTCCTGATGTTTAAGTATAGTTTTATTTTGTTGCTCACATTTTCAGCCCAAAATTCTTTCGTTGCTCACATGTTCGGTTATGGTATCTTTCAGCTCAAATTTTGTAGAAATTTCAACTGTTTCTTCTCCCAGCCCAAATTTTTTTTATTTTTTTAATTCATATTTTTCATTTATATTTTATTTTGCTAAGTTTGCTCACATTCTAAACATTGTTAAAATTTTTTTTTTTGAATTGTTCAAATCCTTTAAAGCTTCCTTCTTTGCTCAAATATTTCAATAGAAATTTTTTTTTTTACAAAGTTTTTTTTTGTTAAACAAATTTTCTTTTTTAAAACATGTTCATTAAATGTTTTTTATTTGGAATCCTCAGCTTCCTTTGTAAAAATTATATTTATTTTCTTTTCCTGATGTTATATTTTCTTTTTTTCTTTGTTTTCACATTTTTTCAGTTTTCTTTTAATTGAGTATCCATGGTATTTTGGATTTCCTTCTTAAAATAAAAACCAAAAAAATTTTTTTTTTATTGCTTACTTATTTTGTTGTAAAAAAAACCTTTCGTTGCTCACATGTTCAACACCATAATATTTCAGCATTTCTGTAGAAATTTCTTATGTTCCTGATGTTAAGTATAAGTTTTTTTTTTGTTCACATTTTCAGCGAAAAAGTATTCTTTCGTTGCTCACATGTTCAGGTCCATGGTATCCTCAGCATTTTCTGCAGAAATTTCAACTTGTTCTTCCTTTTGTTGCTCACATAAGTTTCCTTTTAGTTTCCTTTTTTTCCTCAAAACCTCGTCGTTGCTAAACATGTTCGTTGTCCATGTTCAGCCCTCATAATCCTTCTGTTGAAATTTCACATGTTTCTTCCTGAAAAGTTTTATTTTTTTTTTTTCACATTTCCAGACCAAAAAAGTTTCTTTTCGTTGCTCACATGTTCAGCCATGGTATTTTCAGCATTTCTGTAGAAATTTCAACTGTCTCTTCCTTTAAGTTTGTTTCCTTTTTGATTTCATTTTCTCAAAAAAAACCTCGTTGTTGCTCACATGTTCAGTCCATGGTATTTTTTTTCCTTTGCTCACAAATTTTCAGCCTAAAGTTTCTTTTTTTGCTTAAAATAAATTTATTTTTTTTGTTTCCATTTTTTCCAAAACCTTTGTTCTGCCCACAGTTTTATTTTGGTTGCTCACATGTTCAGACCAAATTTTTTTTTTTCTTCTTCCTGATGTTACCACAGTTTTATTTTATTTTCACATTTTCAGCCTAAAAGTATTATTTTCGTTGCTCACATGTTCAGCCATGGTATTTTTTTTTGTTGCTCACAAATTTCAGCTCCTTCCTGATTTTATATTTTCTTTGCTCACATGTTCAGCCTAAAAATTTTTTTCGTTGCTCACATGTTCGGTCCATGGTATATTTTTTTCATTCATGTTCAGCCTAAGAAATTTTTTTCTTTCCATGTTGTTACAGATTTATGGACTTTTGTTTCACATTTTCTAAAAGTATTATTTTGTTGCTCACATGTTCATTTCCAAAGTTTTTGTTGCTCAGCATGTTCAGCCTACAGTTTTTTCAATTTCTTCACATGTTCAGTTAAGAATAAGTTTTTTTTTTTTTTGTTTCACATGTTCAAAAATTAGTTTTTTTTTTTTGCTCACATGTTCAGCCCATGTATTTTCAGCATCCATATGTAGAAATTTCAACTTTATTTGCTGATGTTAAGCCTAAAGTTTTTCTTTTTTTTTCAAAATAAGTAAAAGTTTTCTTTTCGTTGCTCACATGTTCGGTCCAGTTTGGTATCCTCAGCATCCTTCTGTAGAAATTTTTTTTTTCTTTGCTCACATGTTCAGCCAAAGTATTGCTTTTTTTTTGCTCACATTTTCAGCCTAAAAGTATTATTTTCGTTGCTCACATGTTTGTTCCAATTTTTTTTTTGTTGCTCAAATGTTCAGAAATTTCATTTTTTCTTTCCTTTCCTGATGTTAAGCCCACAAGTTTTTTTTTTTTCTTTTTTTTAAAATTTTTCTTTCGTTGCTCACATGTTCATCCATGGTATCCTCATCATTTTTCTGTAGAAATTTCAACTGTTTTCCTGATGTTAAGTATTATTTTTCTTTTGTTTCACATTTTTAAAAAAAAAGTTTTTTTGTTGCTCACATGTTCGGTCCATGGTATCTTCAGCATCCTTCTGTAGAAATTTCAATTTTGATTCTTTCACATGTTCAGTATAAGTTTCCTTTTTGTTTCACATGTTCAAAAAAAAGTGTCATTTTTTTTGTTCGGTCCATGTTCATCCTCAGCATCCTTTTGTTGAAATCACAATGTTCTTCCTGATGTTAAGTTTTCTTTTTTTTTTTGTTTCCATTTTCTTCTAAAAACCTCGTATTTTTCACATGTTTTCCATGGTATCCTCAGCATCCTTCTGTAGAAATTATTTTGTTCTTCCTGATGTTCAGTATAGTTTTCTTTTTTTGTTGCTCACATTTTCTCAAGTATTCTTTTCGTTGCTCACATGTTCGGTCCATGGTATCCTCCTTCCTTCTGTAGAAATTTCAACTGTTCTTCCTGATGTTAAGTATAAGTTTTATTTTGTTTCCATTTTCTCTAAAATTTCTGTCGTTGCTCACATGTTTTTTCCATGGTATCCTCAGCATCCTTCTGTAGAAATTTCAACTTTCTTTTCCTGATGTTCAGCATAAGTTTTTTTTTTTGTTTCCATTTTTTCTATTATTTTCTTCGTTGCTCACATGTTCGGTCCATATTATCCTCAGTTCCTCACATGTTCAAATTTCAGTTTTCTTCTCTTCCTGATGTTCAGTATAAGTTTTTTTTTTGTTTCCATTTTCTCTAAAACCTCGTCGTTGCTCACATGTTCGGTCCATGGTATTTCAGCATCCTTCATGTAGAAATTTCAATTGTTTCTTTTATTTGCTCATAATGTTCAGCCATAAAATTTTCTTTTCGTCATTGCTCACATGTTCAGTCCATAGTATTCCTTTCTTTGCTCACATGTTCAGCCGACAGTTTTTTCTTCCTGATGTTGCTCACATGTTCAGCCCCTAAATTTTTATTTTGTTGCTCATTTTCAGCCCTAAAGTTTTATTTTGTTGCTCACATGTTCAGCCCACAGGTTTCTTTCAGCATCCTTCTGTAGAAATTTTCACTTTTCTTTATTTCATGTTCATTTTTTCTTTTATTGCTCACATTCAGCCTAAAGTTTTCCTTCGTTGCTCACATGTTCAGGTCCAAAGTATTTTTTCTTTGCTCACATGTTCAGCCTAAAGTATTATTTCCTGATGTCAATGTTCATATTTCAGTAAAGTATTTTTTTTTTGTTGCTCACATGTTCAGACCACAGTTTTTTTTTGTTGCTCATGTTCAGACCAAATTTCTTTTTTCTCTTCCTGAACATGTACAAGTTTCTTTTTTTTCCATTTTTTTCTAAAGTATTTTCGTTGCTCACATGTTCAGTCGAAAGTATCCTTTTTGTTGCTCACATGTTCAGCCTAAGATTATTTTATTTGCTCACATGTTTTGATTCCATTTTTTTTTCGTTGCTCACATGTTCAGTCCACAGTTTTCTTTTTTCATGTTGAGGGGAAAATGTTTTCCTTTGTTTTATTTTTTTTTTTTGTTTCACATGTTAGATAAAATTTTTCGTTGCTCAATTTTTTCGTTGTCCACATTTTTCAGCATGTTCAGCCAAAGATTTTTTTTTATTTGCTCACATGTTCAGCCTAACATTTTTTTTTTGTTGCTCACATTTCAGCCTAAAGTTTTTTTTTCGTTGCTCACATGTGTTCCATGGATCCAAAGCATTTTCTTTGCTCACATGTTCAGCCCAAGTGTTTCTTTTGATTGCTCACATGTTCAGCCTTAGTCTTTTTTGTTTCCACATGTTCAGCCTACAGTATTTTTTTGTTGCTCACATGTTCAGCCCAAAGTATTATTTTGTTGCTCACATGTTCAGCCCACAGTTTTTTTTTCTTTGCTCACATGTTCAGCAGTATAAGTTTTCTTTTTTTGCTCACATTTTTCTATTATTTTTTCTTTCGTTGCTCATGTTCAGTCCAACAGTTTTATTTCTTTGCTCACATGTTCAGCCAAAAAAAGTTTTCTTTTGTTGCTCACATGTTTCAAGTTTTATTTTAATTTTTTTTCAAAAACCTTTTTCGTTGCTCACATGTTCAGCCCATGTTTTTCAGCTTTTTGCTCACATTTTCAGCCTACAGTTTCTTTTTTTGCTCACATGTTCAGCCCTAAAAGTTTTATTTTGTTGCTCGTTTGTTCAGCATGTTCGGTTATTTTATTTGCTCACATGTTCAGCCTAAAGAATTTTTTTGTTGCTCACTGATGTTCAGTAAGAAGTTTTTTTTTTTGCTCACATGTTCAGACCAAATTTTTCTTTTATTGCTCACATTTCAGTCCATAGTCTTCCTTTTGTTGCTCACATGTTCAGCCGAAATTTTTTCTTTTTTTTCATTCACATGTTCAGTATAAGTTTTTATTTTGTTGCTCACATGTTCAGCCTAAAGTATTATTTTGTTGCTCACATGTTCAGCCTAAAGTAGAAATTTTTGTTGCTCACATGTTCAGTATAAGTTTTATTTTTGTTGCTCACATGTTTCAGACCACAGTTTTCTTTTATTGCTCACATGTTCAGTCCACAGTTTTCTTCCTTCGTTGCTCACATGTTCAGTAGAACAGTTTATTTTCTTTTCTCATGTTCAGCCTAAAGTATTATTTTGTTGCTCACATGTTCAGCCCTAAAAGTATTATTTGTTGCTCACATGTTCAGCCCAAGAGTTTTCTTTTGTTTGCTCACATGTTCAGCCCAGAAGTTTTTTTTTTTGCTCACATGTTCAGCCCATAGTCTTCCTTTGTTGCTCACATGTTCAGCCGAAAGTTTTCTTTCTTTGCTCACATGTTCAGCCTAAGTATTATTTTTTTTTCACATGTTCAGCCTAAATGTTTATTTTTGTTGCTCACATGTTCAGCCACAGTTTTTTTTTTTTTGCTCACATGTTCAGACCACAGTTTTCTTTTTTTTGCTCACATGTTCTTAAAACAGTTTTCTTTTCGTTGCTCACATGTTCAGCCGACAGTTTTCTTTTTTTGCTCACATGTTCAGCCCTAAAGTATTATTTTGTTGCTCACATGTTCAGCCAAATTATTATTTTTGTTCAGCCTGTAGTCCAAAAGCCCTCACATGTTCAGCCTTAGTTTTGATTTTTGTTGCTCACATGTTTCAATTTTTTTTTTTTTCTTTTGTTTGCTCACATGTTTTCAGCTTTGCTCACATGTTCTTCCTTGGAATTTTTTTGCTCACATGTGAAAATAGTTTTCTTTTGTTGCTCACATGTTCAGTATAAGTTTTCTTTTTTTTGCTCACATGTTCAGCCTAAAAGTATTATTTTGTTGCTCACATGTTCAGCCATAAACAGTTTTATTTTTGTTGCTCACATGTTTCAGACCACAGTTTCTTTTGTTGCTCACATGTTCAGCCCATAGTTCCTTTTTGTTGCTCACATGTTCAGCAAAAAGTTTTCTTTGTTGCTCACATGTTCAGCCATAAAGTTTTATTTTTTTGCTCACATGTTCAGCCTGAAAGTATTATTTTATTTGCTCACATGTTCAGCCCTAAAGTTTTTTCTTTTTTTGCTCACATGTTCAGACCACAGTTTTTTTTTATTTCACATGTTCAACCACAGTTTTCTTTTTTATTGCTCACATAGTCTTCCTTCATTTGCTCACATGTTCAGCCGACAGTTTTCTTTCTTTGCTCACATGTTCAGCCCTAAAAAGTATTATTTTGTTGCTCACATGTTCAGCCCAAATTTATTTTTGTTGCTCACATGTTCAGCCCACAGTTTTTTTTTTTTGCTCACATGTTCAAACCACAACATTTCTTTTATTGCTCGGTCCATGTTTTTCCTCAGTCATTTTTTTTTGCTCACATGTTCAGCCCAGTTTAGTTTTTTTTTGCTCACATGTTCAGCCTAAAAGTATTATTTTTGTTGCTCACATGTTCAGCCTAAAGTTTTATTTGTTGCTCATATTTCAGCCCACAGTTTTTCTTTTGTTGCTCACATATTTCAGACTTTTTAGTTTTTTTTTGTTGCTCACATGTTCAGCCCATAGTCTTTTTGCTCACATGTTAAAAACAATTTTTTCTTTTTCTTGATGTTCAGCCTAAAGTATTTTTTTTGTTGCTCACATGTTCAGCCTAAAGTTTTATTTTGTTGCTCACATGTTCAGCCCAGTTTTCTTTTTGTTGCTCACATGTTCAGTAGAAATTTTTTTTTTTTTTGCTCACATGTTCAGCCATAGTCTTTTCATTTTATTTGCTCACATGTTCAAACCACATGTTTCTTTTTTATTTTGTTGTTCATGTCAGCATGTTCCTCCTAAAGTATTATTTTGTTGCTCACATGTTTCAGCCTACAGTTTTATTTTTTTGCTCACATGTTCAGCCCAAAGTTTTCTTTTGTTGCTCACATGTTCATGTTCAGTTTTCCTTTTTATTGCTCACATTTCCAAAGTCTTTTTTTTGCTCACATGTTCAGCCGAAAGTTTTATTTTGTTTGCTCACATTTTTCAGCCTAAAGTATTATTTTGTTGCTCACATGTTCCTAACCATTATTTTTTTTTTTTTCACAGTTTTTTTTTTTTGCTCCATGTTCTTGCAAAGTTTTTTTCCTTATTGCTCACATGTTCAGCCCACAGTTTTCTTTTTTTTGCTCACATGTTCCTTCTAAAGTTTATTTCATTTGCTCACATGTTCATGTTAAAGTTTTATTTTTTTTTGCTCACATATTTCAGAAAAAGTTTTATTTTGTTGCTCACATGTTCAGCCATTACAGTTTTCATTTTTGTTGCTCACAAATTTCAGACCAAGTTTTTTTTGTTGCTCACATGTTTCAGTTTTTTTTTCTTTTTATTTCTAAGTTTTTTCTTTGCTCACATGTTCAGCCTGAACAGTATTTTTTTTTGCTCACATGTTCAGCCTAAAGTTTTATTTTATTTGCTCACATGTTCAGCCTAAAATTTTTTTTTTTTGCTCACATGTTCAGCCCAAAGTGTTTTTGTTGCTCATTTTCTTTCATTGCTCACATTTCAGTTTAGTTTTTTTGTTGCTCACATGTTCAGACCTAGTTTTCTTTCTTTGCTCACATGTTGTTCAGTCTTCCTTCGTTGCTCACATGTTCTTCCCAGTTTATTTTTTGCTCACATGTTCAGCCCTTGATTTTATTTTTTTGCTTCATTTTTCAGTTTCCATTTTTTGCTCAATGTATTTATTTTCTGTTGCTCACATGTTTTTCCACAGTTTCTTTTTTTGCTCACATGTTCAGAAATAAAGTTTTCTTTTATTGCTCACATGTTCAGCCTAAAGTTTCATTTTCGTTGCTCACATGTTCAGCCCAAAGTTTTCTTTCTTTGCTCACATGTTTCAGCCCTCAGCATCCTTTTTATTTGCTCACATGTTCAGCCCACAGAGAAGTTTTTTGTTGCTCACATGTTCAGCCCAAAGTTTCTTTCGTTGCTCACATGTTCAGCCCATAGTTTTTCTTTGTTGCTCACATGTTCAGTCCTCTTTTTTAATGTGAAGTATTATTTCTTTTTGCTCACATGTTCAGACCTAAAAGTATTATTTTGTTGCTCCATGTTCAGCCTAAAGTATTATTTTATTTGCTCACATGTTCAGCCCAAAGTATTATTTTTTGTTGCTCACATGTTCAGACCACAGTTTTCTTTTGTTGCTCACATGTTCAGCCCATAGTCTTTTTTTTTTTTGCTCACATGTTCAGCCGATATAAGTTTTTTTTTTGCTCACAAAAAGAAAAAGTTTTATTTTGTTGCTCACATGTTCAGCCTAAAGTATTATTTTTGTTGCTCACATGTTCAGCCATAAGAATAAAGTATTATTTTTTGCTCACATGTTCACATGTTCAGCCTAGTTTTTTTTGTTGCTCACATGTTCAGCCCACAGTTTTCTTTTTGTTGCTCACATGTTCAGCCCATAGTTTCCTTTCATTGCTCACATGTTCAGCCTAAACAGTTTTTTTTTTTGCTCACATGTTCAACCTAAAGTTTTATTTCGTTGCTCACATGTTCAGCTTCCAAAGTATTATTTTGTTGCTCACATGTTCAGCCCATAGTTTTCTTTTATTTGCTCAGTATTTCTTTTTACAGTTTTTTTTATTGCTCATGTTTTACATAGTCTTCCTTTCGTTGCTCACATGTTCAGCCGACAGTTTTCTTTCTTTGCTCACATGTTCAGCCTAAATTATTTTTTGTTGCTCACATGTTCAGCCTAAGTTTATTATTTTGTTGCTCACATGTTCAGCCCATAGTTTTATTTGCTCACATGTTCAACCAAAGTTTTCTTTTGTTGCTCACATGTTCAGCCCAAAGTTTTCCTTCGTTGCTCCATGTTCAGCCGAAAGTTTTCTTTTGTTGCTCACATGTTCAGCCCAAAGTTTTTTTGTTGCTCACATGTTCAGCCTAAAGTTTTTTTTTGTTGCTCATGTTCAGCCTAAGTTTTATTTTTTTTGCTCACATGTTCAGCCCAAAGTTTTATTTTGTTGCTCACATGTTCAGCCCATAGTCTTAGTTGCTTCATGTTCAGAAATTTCTTTTGTTGCTCACATGTTCAGCCCTAAAGTTTCTTGAATTTGCTCACATGTTCAGCCCATAGTCTTATTTCGTTGCTCACATGTTCAGCCCACAGTTTCCTTTCTTTGCTCATGTGTTCAGCCTACAGTTTTATTTTGTTTTGCTCACATGTTCAAATTAAAAAATTATTTCGTTGCTCACATGTTGCTCCATTTTGTTCCTCACATTCAGTAGAAAGTTTTCTTTTTGTTGCTCACATGTTTATAAGTTTTCTTTTTATTGCTCACATGTTCAAAAAAGTTTTCTTTTCGTTGCTCACATGTTCAGACCACAGTTTCCTCAGCATTGCTCACATGTTCAGCCTAAAGTGTTTATTTTGTTGCTCACATGTTCATTTTAAAGTATTATTTTGTTGCTCACATGTTCAGGTATTTTTATTTTTTCTTTTTCAGAAATTTCAACATGTTTCAGACCACAGTTTTCTTTTTGTTTTTTTTTGACCACAGTTTTCTAAAACTTCCTCGTTGCTCACATGTTCGGTCCATGGATCCTCAGTTTTCATGTTCAGAAGAAAGTTTTATTTTGCTCTCATGTTCAGCCTAAAGTATTATTTTGTTGCTCACATGTTCAAAAAAAGTATTATTTTGTTGTTCACACATGTTCAGCCCACAGTTTTTCTTTTGTTGCTCACATGTTCAGAGTGTCTCTTTTTTCTTTTATTGCTCACATGTTCAGCCCATAGTCTTCCTTCGTTGCTCACATGTTCAGCCGACAGTTTTCTTTCTTTGCTCACATGTTCAGCCTAAAGTATTATTTTGTTGCTCACATGTTCAGCCTAAAGTATTATTTTGTTGCTCACATATGTTCAGCCCACAGTTTTCTTTTGTTGCTCATGTTCAGACCACAGTTTTTTTCTTTTTTATTGCTCACATGTTCAGCCCATAGTCTTCCTTCGTTGCTCACATGTTCAGCCGACAGTTTTCTTTTTTTTGCTCACATGTTCAGCCTAAAAGTATTATTTTTTTGCTCACATGTTCAGCCCTAAAAGTATTATTTTGTTGCTCACATGTTCAGCCCAGTTTTTTCTTTGATTGCTCACATGTTCAGACCACAGTTTTCTTTTATTGCTCACATGTTCAGCCCATAGTTTCCTTTCGTTGCTCACATGTTCAGCCGACAGTTTTCTTTCTTTGCTCACATGTTCAGCCAAGAAAGTTATCTTTTTCTTTGCTCACATGTTCAGCCTAAAGTATTATTTTGTTGCTCACATGTTCAAGCCCAAAGTTTTATTTTTGTTGCTCACATGTTCAGCCCACAGTTTTCTTTTTTGTTGCTCACATGTTCAGACCACAGTTTTTTTTTTATTGCTCACATGTTCAGCCCATAGTCTTTTTTCGTTGCTCACATGTTCAGCCTGACAGTTTTTGCTTTCATTTGCTCATTTTTATTTTGTTTTTCCACAAAGTATTATTTTCTTTTTGTTTCACATGTTTCTTTAAAGTTTTATTTTGTTGCTCACATGTTCAGCCCACAGTTTTCTTTGTTGCTTCATGTTCAGAATAAATTACAGTTTTTTTAAAATTTTCACACATTTCAGCTTTTTTTTTTTGTTTCACATGTTCATTGAAAGTTTTCCTTTATTTGCTCACATGTTCAGCCCACAGTTTTCTTTTTGTTGCTCACATGTTCAGCCTAAAGTTTTTTTGTTGCTCACATGTTCAGCCTAAAGTATTATTTTTTTGCTCACATGTTCAGCCCACAGTTTTTCTTTTGTTGCTCACATGTTCAGACCACAGTTTTTTTTATTAAAACATGTTCAGCCTCATAGTCTTCCTTTGTTGCTCACATGTTCAGCCGACAGTTTTTTTTTTATTTGCTCACATGTTCAGCCTAAAGTATTTTTTTGTTGCTCACATGTTCAGCCTAAAGTATTATTTTGTTGCTCATGTTCAGCCCACATATTTTTTCTTTTTTTTGCTCACATGTTCAGACCAAAGTTTTCTTTTTATTGCTCACATGTTCAGCAAAATAGTCTTCTTTCGTTGCTCACATGTTCAGCCGACAGTTTTCTTTTTTGCTCACTCACATGTTCAACCAAAGTATTATTTTGTTGCTCACATGTTTCAGCCCTAAAGTTTTATTTTGTTGCTCACATGTTCAGCCCACAGTTTTCTTTTTGTTGCTCACATGTTCAGCCTAAAAGTTTTCTTTTTATTGCTCACATGTTCAGCCCATTATTTTTTTGCTCACATGTTCAGCCCACAGTTTTTTTCATTGCTCACATGTTTCAGATTTTTAAATTTATTTTCTTTGCTCACATGTTCAGCCCTTAGTATTTTTTGTTGCTCACATGTTCAAATTAAAGTAAATTTTTGTTGCTCACATGTTCAGCCCAAAGTTTTTTTTTTTATTCACATATTTCAATTAAAAGTTTTATTTTGTTGCTCCACATGTTCAGCCCAAAGTTTTCTTTTATTTGCTCACATGTTCAGACCACACAGTTTTTTTTCTTTGCTCACAAATTTCAGCCTAAAGTCTTCCTTTCGTTGCTCACATGTTCAGCCGAAAGTTTTCTTTCTTTGCTCACATGTTCATTGTCCAAAAGTTTTATTTTTTTTGCTGTATGTTCAGCCCAAAGTTTATTTTCTTTGCTCACATGTTCAGCCAAGTTTTTCTTTTGTTGCTCACATGTTCAGACCAAAGTTTTCTTTTATTGCTCACATTTCAGCCGACAGTCTTATTTTTTTGCTCCAATGTTCAGCCTAACATTTTATTTCTTTGCTCACATGTTCAGCCTAAAGTTTTATTTTGTTGCTCACATGTTCAATAAAATAAAGATTTTTTATTTTATTTGCTCACATGTTCAGCCTCATTTTCTGAAAAATTTTTGTTGCTCACATGTTCAGCCCACAGAAAAAAAATTTGCTCACATGTTCAGCCAAAGTTTATTTTGTTGCTCACATGTTTTCCATTTTTTTAAAACAGTTTTTATTTTCTTTGCTCACATGTTCAGCCCCTAAAGTTTTCTTTCTTTGCTCACATGTTCAGCCTAAATAAATATTACTTTTTATTGCAATCACATGTTCAGCTCCATAGTTTTTTTTATTTGCTCACATGTTCAGACGAAAGTTTTCTTTTATTTCTCACATGTTCAGATTTAAAGTAAAGTATTTTTTGTTGCTCACATGTTCAAAAACAGTTTTCTTTTTTGCTCACATGTTCAGAACTAAACAGTTTTATTTTGTTGCTCACATGTTCAGCTTAAAGTATTATTTTTTTGCTCACATGTTCAGCCTAGTTTTTTTATTTTCTTTGCTCACATGTTCAGACCACAGTTTTCTTTTTTGCTCACATGTTCAGTATGAATTATTTTGTTGCTCTCCATGTTCAATTAAACAGTTTTTTTTTTTTGCTCACATGTTTTTAAAAGTATTATTTTTTGTTCACATGTTCAGCCTAAAGTATTATTTTGTTGCTCACATGTTCAGCCTAAAGTTTTCTTTGTTGCTCACATGTTCAGACCAATTTTAACTTTTATTTCACATGTTTCAGCCCATGTTTTTTTTTCGTTGCTCACATTTCAGCCCAAAAATTTTATTTTGCAGAACATGTTCAGCCTAAAAGTTTTATTTTGTTGCTCACATGTTCAGTGGAAAAAGTTTATTTTTTGTTGCTCACAAATTTCAGCCTAAAAGTATTATTTTGTTGCTCACATGTTCAGCCCACAGTTTTTCTTTTGTTGCTCACATGTTCTTTTTCCCAAAGTTTTTTTTCGTTGCTCACATGTTTCAGCCCATAGTTTTCCTTTTTTGCTCATGTTCAGCCTACAATTTATTTCTTTGCTCACATGTTCAGCCTAAAAGTTTTTTTTGTTGCTCACATGTTCAGCCTAAAAGTTTTATTTTGTTGCTCACATGTTCAGCCTAAAGTTTTATTTTGTTGCTCACATGTTATAACCAAAAGTTTTTCTTTTTATTGCTCACATGTTCAGCCCATAGTCTTCCTTCGTTGCTCACATGTTCTGTGACAGTTTTCTTTCTTTGCTCACATGTTCAGCCTAAAAGTATTATTTTGTTGCTCACATGTTCCTAAAGTATTATTTTGTTGCTCACATGTTCAGCTGTAGAAAAATTTTATTTTTGTTGCTCACATGTTCAGACCACAGTTTTTTTTTTTTTCATTCAATAAAAAAGCCCAAAGTCTTCCTATTTTTTGCTCACATGTTCAGCATCCTAGTCTTTCTTTTTTTCACATGTTTGCCCGAAAGTTTATTATTTTTTTTTGCTCACATGTTCGAAAAAAGTATTATTTTGTTGCTCACATGTTATTATTTTATTTGCTCACATGTTCAGCCCAAAATTTTTCTTTTTTTTGCTCACATGTTCAGACCAAAAGTTTTCTTTTATTGCTCATATGTTCAGCCCATAGTCTTCCTTCATGTTGCTCACATGTTCATATGACTATAGTTTTTTTTTTGCTCACATGTTTCAGATTAAAGTATTATTTTGTTGCTCACATGTTCAGCCTAAAATTATTTTGTTGCTCACATGTTCAGCCCAGTTTTTTTTTGTCCTCTCATCTTTGTTCAGAGAAAGTTTTCTTTTTTTTGCTCACTGATGTTATTTAAAGTCTTCCTTTTTCCATTGCTCACATGTTCAAATGACAGTTTTTCTTTTCTTTCAAACATGTTCAGCCCTAAAGTATTATTTTTTGCTCACATTTCAGCCTAAAGTATTATTTTGTTGCTCACATTTTCATCTAAAAGTTTTATTTTGTTGCTCACATGTTCAGTCCACAGTTTCCTTTTATTGCTCACATGTTCAGAACAGTTTTCTTTTTTCTCACATTTTTCAGCCGATAGTTTTCTTTTTTTGCTCACATGTTCAGCCTAAGTTTTATTTTTTTGCTTGTTTATCCAAATTATTTTTCATTTTCTGTTGTTCTTAAAAAAGTTTTATTTTTTTGTTTTCATGTTTTTAATAAGTTTTCTTTTTGTTGCTCACATGTTTCAATGTTTTTCTTTTTTGCTCACATGTTCAGTCCACAGTTTTTTTATTCCTCACATAGAAATTTCAACCATAGTCTTTTTTGTTGCTCATTTTCAGCCGACAGTTTTTTTTTAATTTGCTCACATGTTCAGCCTAAAGTTTTATTTTTGTTGCTCACATCATTTCAGCCCAAAGTTTATTTTATTTCTTTCACATGTTCAGCCCCATATTTTTTTTTTTGCTCACATTTTCAGAAATTTTTTTTTGTTGCTCACATGTTCAGCCCATAATTTTTTGTTTGATGATATAGATGTTTTAGATAGTTCTTTGTTGCTCACATGTTCAGCCCCGAAGTTTATTTTTTTTTTCACACATTTCAGCCTAAAAGTTTTATTTGTTGCTCACATGTTCAGTCCATGGTATCCTTTGCATCCTTCTGTAGAAATTTTGTTCTTCTGATGTTCAGTAGTTTTCTTTTTTTTTTCCATTTTCAGCCTAAAACTTCTTCGTTGCTCACATGTTCAGTCCATGGTTTCCTTTCATCCTTCTTTTAGAAATTTTGTTCTCACATTTTTAATAAGTTTTCTTTTTTTGCTCATTTTCAGCCCTAAAACCTCGTCGTGTTGCTCACATGTTCGGTCCATGGTATCCTTTCATCCTTCTGTAGAAATTTCAATTGCCTCTTCCTGATGTTCTTTATAAGTTTTTTTTTTTTCCATTTTCTTAAAACCTCGTCGTTGCTCACATGTTCGGTCCATGGTATCCTCAGCATCCTTCTGTTGAAATTTCAATTTTCTCTCTTCCTGATGTTCAGTATAAGTTTTTTTTTTCACATTTCCATTTTCCTAAAGTTTATTTCGTTGCTCACATGTTCGGTCCATGGTATCCTTTCATCCTTCTGTAGAAATTTCAATGTTCTCTTCCTGATGTTTCTATAAGTTTCCTTTTTTGTTTCCATTTTTCTCTAAACCTCGTCGTTGCTCATATGTTCGGTCCATGGTATCCTGTTCATCCTTCTGTAGAATTTTCAATTGCTCTCTTCCTGATGTTAAGTATAGTTTTTCTTTTTGTTTCCATTTTTCTAAAACCTCGTCGTTGCTCACATGTTCGGTCCATGGTATCCTCAGCATCCTTCTGTAGAAATAAGTTTTGCCTCTTCCTGATGTTAAGTATAAGTTTCCTTTTTTGTTTCCATTTTCTCTAAAGTTTTCGTCGTTGCTCACATGTTCAGTCCATGGTATCCTCATTCATCCTTCTGTAGAAATTTCAATTGCCTCTTCCTGATGTTAAGTATAAGTTTTCCTTTTGTTTCCATTTTCTCTAAAACCTCGTCGTTGCTCACATGTTCGGTCCATGGTATCCTTCATCCTTCTGTAGAAATTTCAATTGTCTTTCTTCCTTGATGTTAAGTATAAGTTTCTTTTTTGTTTCCATTTTCTTAAATTTCGTCGTTGCTCACATGTTCGGTCCATTTTATCCTCATCATCCTTCTGTAGAAATTTCAATTTTCTTCCTGATGTTAAGTATAAGTTTTTCCTTTTGTTTCCATTTTCTCTAAAACCTCGTCGTTGCTCACATGTTCGGTCCATGGTATCCTTGTTCATCCTTCTGTAGAAATTTCAATTGCCTCTTCCTGATGTTAAGTATAAGTTTCCTTTTTGTTTCCATTTTCTCTAAAAAACCTCGTCGTTGCTCACATATTCGGTCCATGGTATCCTTTTTCCTTCTGTAGAAATTTCAATTGCCTCTTCCTGATGTTAAGTATAAGTTTTCTTTTTTTTGTTTCCATTTTCTCTAAAACCTCGTCGTTGCTCACATATTCGGTCCATGGTATCCTCATCATCCTTCTGTAGAAATTTCATTTGCCTCTTCCTGATGTTAAGTATAAGTTTTCATTTTTTGTTTCCATTTTCTCTAAAACCTCGTCGTTGCTCACATGTTCGGTCCATGGTATCCTCATCATCCTTCTGTAGAAATTTCAAAATTTTCTTCCTGATGTTAAGTATAAGTTATTTTTTTGTTTCCATTTTCTCTAAAACCTCGTCGTTGCTCACATATTCGGTCCATGGTATCCTCATCATCCTTCTGTAGAAATTTCTTTTGCCTCTTCCTGATGTTAAGTATAAGTTTTTTTTTTTGTTTCCATTTTTCTAAAACCTCGTCGTTGCTCACATGTTCGGTCCATGGTATCCTCATCATCCTTCTGTAGAAATTTCAATTGTCTCTTCCTGATGTTAAAGTTTTCTTTTTTTTCCATTTTCTATTAAAACCTCATCGTTGCTCACATTTTCGGTCCATGGTATCCTCCAATAACTTCTGTAGAATCCTTTTAATTGTCTCTTCCTGATTTTAAAAGTATAACGACTTTTTGTTTCCCTTCTAATTCTTCTTCGTTGCTCACATGTTTTTTCCAAAGAATCAGCATCCAGATTTAATTATACTTTTTATTTATTTTATACCTTTAAAAGTTGTCAAATTTCAAGATTTTAATTTCCTCGAAACAATCTTTAAAAATCATTTGAGTTGCAAAACATTTTACCAAAAGCGTATCCTCATTATTTTCTATAAAATTTTTTTCTTACGCTTTTTATAGTTTTTTAATTTTTTTAATATATATTTTTTGTAAATAAATATATAAGTACACATCAAAAAGAAAATTACCATTCCAAAATCCTTTGAAAAATTTATTTAAATTTATATGAAATTTAATTATAAAAAATATATATTTGTTTTTTTACTTAACACACATTCTTTATAATATTTTCATGGGCTATGAAAAAACCATAAATATTAATGAGATGTATATTTAAGAAATAAACAGATTTCAACATATAATAAACATATAAATATATAGACATATATATATATATAATTTAATATATATATATATATATAGATAAATACATTTTTAAAAGAATATGATGAATATAAAATTAAATTGTTAAGAGGTAAAGATGAAAATAATATATATATACAGACAGAAATGAAAAGAACACAGAATTGAGAATTAAAAGAGAAAAGATAGATAGATAGATGGAATGATAGATATTAAGATAGATAGTAAAAGATTTAAACAGATTAATAAAAATGAACAGATCGAGAAGAAAAAAATAGATAGATAGATAGAATTGATAGATAGATGATAGATTAAATAATGAATGTATGTAAATATTATTTTAAAATTAAATTGTTAAAGATAGATAGATATAGAAAGATAAAAATGTTTTTGAAAAGAAAAAAAAAAAATTCAATGTTTAATAAAAAAAAAATATAAATGTGATAAAAAACAAAAAAGAAAATCTTAATGCAAAATAATAATGCATACAAAGAAAGAAAAAAAAACAATAATAAAAGATAAAATAGATAGATAGATAGATAAAAGCATATGTATAAATGTATAAATTAAAATTAGATAGATAGATAAATTTAATATATTTAAATCAACAGAATTTTGTTTTATTCATCTAATTTAAAAATTTTCTATATAAAAATTTTTTCTATATAATGCAAAATTTGTAGATAAGGTTATTTCCCCATAATGCATTTTCTCAAAGAATAAACCCATTATTCTAAGGTAATAGCAAAAGGAAAAAATTAAATCAATATAGGAAAATTTGGAAATAAGAAAATTGTTTTTTTTTTACGTATTTTTATTTTTTTTTTTTTTAAACATTTTTTTTTTTAAAAATTTAGTTTAAATGCGATTAAAAAAAGCTAAACTGATTTATTCAGCTGTAAAAGCGTTAATAAAATTTGATGAATGATAAGTAAACGCTTCATTCTATATTTAGGCGGGAACAAAGAAAGTGTGAATGATTTGAGAAGATGCAGACGATAAAGAATTTTATAGGAAATGATCAGAATGCAATGTTAAAAAAGGTATATCAATTAAAAATCAAAAATTACCATTTTCATCTAGAATCCAAAAAAAATGAAAAGATAGGTTTGAAGGAAGGAAAAAAAAATGGCTGAAAAAAATTGAGTAAATAAATAAACGTAAAAAATATGAAGAAAATATAGTGAAAATTGTCCTTGAAAAAAAAAAAAGGATAAATTAGAAATGGAAGAAAAAAAAGAATAGAAAAAAAAAAAGATTTATGAAAATATGGTTAACAATAAACATGAAGAATTGAAGACGATACAACTAGAGAGATAGAGAGAGAGATGAGATAAGAAGAAGAAAATTAAGAAACCAGAAAAGAATTTTGAGAAAAACCTGAAAATAAATTATATATACAATAAAGGGAAAATAAACAGAAAAAAAAAAATAAACAAATACTGTAAGGATTATAGATGACAATATTTGAAGATAGACACATATGAAAAAAAAATAGATAGATAGATAGATAAATATAATAGATAGATAATATATGATAATATATACAGTCTATATATATATATATATTTATATATATATATATATATATATATATATATATTAATAAACAAACATTTGAATGTATATTTATATG